CACATATCATGATAAAGAACATGATATGGACCCGTTTCTTAAGTGGGGTGAGACCGAGAGAGGCTTCAAACTTGAAGGTTTTTTTAAAAACTCATACCCACGTATTGCTTCTGTTGCCTTCATTGTCAACAAAGAAGACACAGAGAACTAACATGTCGTAAACATTCTTTATACTTATTTTATTGAAATAAATAGATCTTTTAAAATAATAATTTGAAAAAAAACTTGCTTGCTGTGCTGTGTGGAGTTATAAAGCTCTTTGGGATTGGCAGAACACTCGAGAAGTGTCGAGAAGCACTCCGCGGATGTTACTAAACACCTAGACTGCGAGCTAAGGCCTATAGGGGCAAACGTCGAGCTTTCCATGCACCAAACTTAATTACATCGAAGAATGCCGCTCATTATCATGCATGGAAAGTTCGACGTTTGCCCTAGGCCTTAGTCCTTGGCCACTGTCCGTCTGTCTGTCCGTGTCGATTGGTCGAGTCAAAAGTTCCTGGGCTGGGGAGGGAGGGACGGAAGAAACTTAGAGGGACTGCCATCTTTAAAACCCTTCAAGGCGCGTGTTGTTAAATTACCGCTACCTAACATTTATTTCACCCCGGCCTGCTCTCCGTCTGAGCTCTAGCTCAACTCGTGGGTTCGATTCCCAGCGAGGTCGGAAATTAATTTTTCCGAATTTATTTCCAAGGGTCTTTCACCCGGAATAACCTCGTTCCCAAGCACTATAACTTATCTATATTTCTATGTCTTGTGTGTTAATCGAAGTGTAGACTTGCCCCAAGTCGACCTCTCTTGTTTTCTCGGCGTTTTTTTAATTCGAGCAAAGCGAGAATCTTGCGAGCGCAGCGAGCGAGCGACGAAGTCGCGAGAGGTCGACTTGTCTAACTTGCAGGATATTCATTTGCGTTTCCCGCCATTTCCGAATTTGATACGGGAGGGTCGGCTTTCGGGAGCGGAGCTAAAGAATTGTGGTTTTCATTTATTTGTTTCTTCATGTTATATCCGGAGCAGCAAAACATGTTTTATCAATAATAATGGTTGATGCTATAACTCCAACTAAAACTGTTGAAAGGATAGCGATATCTCCTGCGTCCAAACAAAAAATATGCTTTCTTCGCGCCAGTCAAGTTCCGAACAATGACTATAGACGGAAATTGTTTAGTCGTCTCCAACATAGGAAGCAGAGATCCCCTTTGATTTTAAAGACGTTACTTGGTCTTTCATTAAAGAGACCAAGGGGACAACAACAACAACAACAACAGTCTCGATTAAGTTTTTCTCACCGAACCTCATAAAATCTAAGGCGAATGGAGCGATCTCAAATGTCAGGCTTTTTCCCGCTCCTGTAGGTGCAGATATCTCTGCCTGAAAGATACGCTTCTATACTTTGTTTCTGGTATTCTCTTATAGTTTCGTATCCTAATTTACTTTTACCCTATGATATGGCCTCAGATATTGATCTCATGTTGTCAGACAGATGTTGTGTTGACAGATGCCGATGGGAATCGTAGAGATAATCTTACTAATCTTACATTGTGATTGACAGCTTGGATTTCGAGCATTGTGATTGGCTATAATTTACCGACTGATTTTTGGGTCGGTAAATTTGGCGGGAAGCAAGGTCGAAAAGTCCGTCGTGCGCCCAGTAAAAAAAAACCAAAGCGGGCGGCGGACTTTGCGAAAGTCTAATCGAAGTGAAGCAGATCAAGATATTGGGCTTAGTATTAACTTTCCTAATAAGGACTTGATATCCATATATGGTAGATGGTTTTCTGGGGTATGACGTAAGTCTCGGATCAAGAGAGAAAGATAATAAGAGAACAGAACTGTTGGATATCTGTTTACATCTTGGTCGAACTCAGAGCAGTTCACCCGACCTATACGCTTAATTTTGAAGACTTGGATATCTATTGAAGACGCTTTCTGTCCTCTTGCTTTTCGTTATCATGGAAATAGCAAGGAAATGTCCGTTTTTGGCTCGAGTACCGTCGACTTTTATCCGTCAAGCTCGCGGCACTGTTCTGTTATCTTATGCAGAAACATGTCCCGTAATGTCTCAAATGCTCAACTCTAAGACTCCACAACCACCTACTATGGGCTCTGGTACGAACTAATAATATTCTTACGGTATTGGGCAATAATTTAACATCGATAATAATGTATTTTGTATCTTTTTTTCTATTTTTCTAGGCATTAAATCCACTGGTGCATCAAGTTTGTCTCGGTCTGGTAAGCACGTTACATAACTTACTCTAACTTTCCTATTTTCATAAGCTTATATAGTTATATAAGCTTACTTTTGAATTAATTACGGATTAAAAGTAAATATATGTGTTTCAAAATATTGAATCTTGAAAATATATTTATATTTATGGCTAATCTGTAAGGTTCTGGATCCAACTAACGCAACGTGATTTCCTCATCCGTAAAATGTTTGAACCCCTGACTCTAGAAAAATCCAAACATGAAACAAACGTTATCCCCTTCACGTCTCTTATTAAGCCTATGTTATGTCTTTCAACGCAAATTCTTTTCACCCTTGAGCTTTTTTATCCGTCTAAACTACCCAGGAGTTGTACGTTATAACATGATGTCTATAAGCTGAGCCGTGTAAATTTATAACATTTATTACTAATTTAGGCTATTATTAGTGTTTTCGTCACTTTCCCTCAACCCCTTTTTATTTATCTAAGGAAATCGTTATTCCTACGGTCTTCCCCTCTTATCTGCCCCTGTTGATAAGCAGGGCCCACAGAAGGGGAGGTGCTTTGAAGGGGGTGGGCTAATGCTATCTATCAAATGTTACACACACATAATACAACGGATTCAAAAATCGTTTTCATTAACTGGGTCCATCCTAAGCTCCATCCTAGAATACCCCGCAAATCATATGCACATACTTAATGACCATGACTTCTATTTTTGTATGCGCCATTCTTCTAAGAGCTCCAACAACTGCATAGTATTTGAGGGGTTTTCTATATTGTTCCATATTCTCTCTAAATTAATTATTCCCACTTACTAATATAATGTTAGTGCCTAAATATATATAATAACAGTGAGCAACAACCCATTAAATATCAAAAAGTTGCTATGACTTGCATTGTATTATCTAATCAGAAATGCAGTTTACCACTTCAGTGATTTCTACCCATGCTTCTTTTCAGTGTAGTCACGTAGGCTTGAATCAATGACAATCAATGACTTTATTAATGTTTAGTTCTACTAGCTTGCCACAAGTGAGCATGACAATGTTTTTTGAATTAAATAAATATTCAATGGTCCTTGAATAGGTAAGGTAGCCTAAGGATATTATCAGCACATACTCATTGGATGCACAGCCATGCACCAAGATCAGACAAAGATAAACAACTGCTAATGCAAAATAACCCCTGCTCTCTGCAAGGCACCTATATTGGGCATTTATTTATACAAGTGTAATATCTCTTGTAAACAAGTAAGATTAATAGTGGAAGAAATGGATGGGCCCTGAGCAAGCCATTTTTTACTCACCTCTTTCACAATTTCAAGAGCCTTAGGGTGTTGTGTACCCCTGTAGGCATTTGAAAGTTTTGATTTTTCAAAAAAGATAACCAGTGTCAAAATTGGCACTGATATTTTTAGTTCTGCACAAAGCTATTAAAGCATTAATGAGAACGAAAAGCAGCAAGAATACATTACTTACTTTCGCAAGTCAATATATTTTCTGTAAGACCAAAACTCTTCATGATCTGTACACGCAAAAATAACTTGGAATAAACTGATAATCAGTATTGTCCAGATAAAAGCAGGTATAGTATAAATTCAATTAAGAAACCTTTCAATTTGGGACAGATTTTTGATTGGTTACCCCCAAAGACGCAAGGCATTATGGGGATGTGAAAGTCGAGAATACATTTTTTTAAAAGATATTGCTTTCTTTGTGAGAAAAACAAGAAAAATAAATTTGTAAATTTAGGTAGGATCCCTATAGCAGATGCCTGCAAAGGTCTCTTGTCCTGAAGAACCCTGGGTAATATTTTTTCATCATCATCTTCTTTTATTTAAAAACCAACAAGGGTATTAATAAATAAATTACACTGAATAAGTATACAGATTTAAATATTGAAATATCAATTACAATAAATAAATTAGTGAGCAGACATGCAAGACATTTTCCCTGATGTCAAGACAGTTACAGCCTAAGATAGATGTGTGTCAACAGCATAGAAATGGTAGCACATTATGTAGTGTTTAATAAACCAGCAGGGGTGTTTTATCAGGTATAAAACACGAGGCGTAGCCGAGTGGTTTTAGACCCGATAAAATATGATCTGCGAGTTTATTGAACGACTTAAAAAAACTCATGATGTAAGTAATGTTTAATAAACGAGCAGGAGTGTTTTATCGGGTATAAAACACGAGGCGCAGCCGAGTGGTTTAAGACCCGATAAACCACGATCTGCGAGATTATTGAACGGCTTAGAAAACTTATGATGTTTGTTCTCATTGTGTACCGATTTTTTTACGAAATGAACCAAGTTTGATAGAGAAAATCCAAGTTAATGTTTATGCAAATGAAGACGAATCTTTATCAGATATAAAATCACCTTCATGGTCATGATTTCTATTGTGTTTTCTTCATGAATTATTAATGAGTTTTCTAAGTTCTCATATTGTACCGAATTGGCCCTTTGCAGCTAGTGGTCACGTGCTTGGATACCGCTTAGCAACACAAA